AGGCTTGTATACAGTAATACACAGTATGTATTAGAAAAAATAACATATTTCCAACATACATATTAGCTATAATTCGTTCTAAAATATATCCATTTAATTTTAAAAACATCAAATCAAACAACTGTAAAAATTTATCAAAATTAAAGTCTGAATAAATTTCAAAATTATTTTCTGAACTTTTTAAAAATACCTCAAATTGATCAAAATTCATAAAATTTGACAGCCACATATCAGTATTAAATTTTCTCCTTTTAGATGTCTTCTTATATATGCTGTCGGTCCATTTGCTCAACCATTCATTCACCACATTCTGCATAAATTTCATTAAAATGGCGAATTTATTATAGTTAATGACTATTATTCATTTGACTACATATAGAGTATTAATTTTTCTCCTTTTAGATGTCTTCTTATATATGCTGTCGGTCCATTTGCTCAACCATTCATTCACCACATTCTGCATAAATTTCATTAAAATGGCGAATTTATTATAGTTAATGACTATTATTCATTTGACTCTTCACAGATTACAAGAACATATTTTCATTCTTAAATTATTTTTCACAAAAAAATATATTTATTTTTAATAAAAAAATTTAATGAATCAGATGAACCAAACGATATAATTTATTGCACGTGACTGTCCGTTTCCAACTCGGATTCTTCTGATTTTAGAGCAAATATATTAATCTAAGGAATAGTTTGGATATACTAATGAACAGTTTGGATGATGACAATGAGGTTTGTCTTAGGACTAATTATTCTGAGCGGACACCGGACGAAGAGAATCGTCCAGAATTATTGTGCGTTTATTATCTTTTTGCTGCGATTTTGAAAAAGAACGGTAAAAGGAAAGCAAATATTTAATATTTACTAAATAATTGAATATTTGTTGTATTTTTATTGAGTATTTTCAAAAAAACAGCTAAATGACAGTAAAAACACATTCATAATTGAATATTTGTTGGTCTTTAATGCCCTTTTGCAAAAGGATAGTAAAAGCGCAGCAAATCCGGACGGTTCTCTCCATCCAATGTCTGCAAAGAATAATTTCTCCGGTCTTAGATTTGTTTGATATCCATTTTTAGTGGGTTTCTTTTATAATATAAGCAATATTTAGCATATCAAGATTGGAGGGGAGCATTTTTAATCAAAGGATGATGATAGAATTAATGATGGTCGGAGCGATAATGTCGGAGCGATAATGGTCAGATTATGACGGACGGATGATAGTGAATGGACTATGATGATCAGTAAAAGTGAGGAAACTATGTTGGAAAGATAATGATAGTTGAGCGATGACAATCTGATGGTGGTGATTTTTGGTGATAATTGTCATACATCAAATATCAGGTAGAGCTATAAAGTTCTACAAATCTACGAGCTCTCTCTCTCTCTCTCTCTCTCTCTCTCTCTCTAATTTCAATTACAGGTCATATTCGTGGGAAAATTGAGGTTCTATTTATAGTTTTTTAAAGTGGTATTTACGTAATTTTAGTCAAAATTATCAAAATACTCCATGGGATAACCATTTTTTATTCCCTCAATCATGTAGAGTCTCATTTAATGTTTATTACAATATAATATAGATAATTTGATTTATCTTCAATGTAAACTATTTTTATGAGACAAATCTGTCCATGCATTAGATCATAGAAAGAACTGCAACAATTATAAATGAAAATATAATCACTCATCTCAATTTCAAAGATTTACTTAGCTATGATAATCTTTAAGCTCCACTTTCTTTATTTCAATACCTACAATTAGTAACAATTCTTTATGAGATGTCTATTTATTTATTTCCTTTTAAATTATTTTAAATTTCTAACCTAATTTACTTCAACATATGTAGTGTCTCAATATTATTAAGGATATGACACATAACTAATCTCCAAAATTCTCTCAAACAACATTTAAAATAATATTTAATCAAGATAATTTAAATATTGATATTTTTATATAAAAATAATGTATTTTATGACCAAATAAAACCTCTTAATATAATCTTATATTTAAAATTAACCACCATTTAATAACCTCACTTTATTCCTTTAATTTGAATCCATAATTATAAAGAGTTCTTACATATGAAATTTCTAAAATCTACCAAAAATAATGGTTAAAAACTCACACTTATATTCAAAACTCTATTTAAATATTTTTTTCTTGAGTTAAGATTCTTTATACCCAATTTCCTATATACATTTATAATTTCAAAATTATTTCCTTCTGTTGCGTCCATGAGTATTCGTGGCGGCAGAGAAATATAAAGTTTAACGTCTTAGTGTTGTACGAAAATCCGGCACGCAATCATATAAGAGAGAGTATGTAGCATTCACATGAGACACCAATATTTTTACGTGGAAAACCCCTGAACATGGGGAAAAATCACGAGGCCTAGCCCAGTTTGAATGGATCCACTAATGTTGTAGTTGATTACAAAAGAGGCCATTCTCTAGTATAAGGCCTTAGCTTGATGTACATTTTATAGAGTACATTATATGATGGGAACACAAAGAGTCAATGCTGGTGTGTTTGTTTGGTCAGGAGGACCATAGTCTGATGACAGAGATCAGAAGAGTCGTAGTCGGCGGGCGACGGAGGTCAAAAAGACATGTAGTCGGTGGGCGACGTACATTAGAAGGAGCGTAGTCAGCGGGCGATGGAGGTCGAAAGGGTTGTTGTCTGACGACAAAGGTCAGAAGGACGGCGTCAGGTAGAAATCCAACAATGGAAAGAAATCCATCTTCGGATAGATGTCCGACGAAAGTCCGATAACCGGTAGAAGTCCGACATCGGGTAGGAACTTGGCGAAGAGTGAAGGTCCGATGTCGAGTAGAAGTCCGACGTTTGTTGGTGGTCGAGGATAACTCCGGCATCACTTGAGCGGAGTTTCGACGTCAGGAGGGAACTCTGTCTTTAATTGGGAAGAATTTCAGCATCCCGTAGAACTTGGGTAGAATTCTGGCATCTCGTGGAAGTCAGGCAAAATTCCGGCGTCATTTGGAGTTCGGTTGGAACTCCGACGGTGGTCGAGGAAGAGCTGATTCTCCTCCTCCTTCTCTTCTTCTTATCTTCTTCTTGCTTCTTGCTTGGGGGGTCCCCTCTCAAGAGAAATGAGGGGTCTATTTATAAACTTTCTGGAGTGGCATGGCTCATAAATAGGTGAGAGATCAGGGGCGAATCGGGAGTGGTTTGAATGAACGTCTGATATTGAATCCCTTGATCATGCATCGTTTGTCAGACATTTGAAGGTCTTAATGATGTCGGAATTTGGCAATCTTGGGCTCGTTGGATTCGTCTCGTCGAGCCGCTCGATTCGACCATAAGCTCGTTAAAATCGAAAACTGTTTGATAACTCAAATTGTGGTATAAACTTTATAATAACGCTTCGGGTCCTTGATTTGGACCCATTTGGGCTTGGATTGAGTTGAATTTGGTGTCGTTGGATTCGTATTTCTAAGACGCTCAGTTTGACTATAAGTTTGCTGAAATCGGAGTTCAGATGCTCTCAGATTTAATTTTTTAAGTTTCCAACTTGATTTTTGCCTGGAGATTTGTGCCCGCTCAAGATAATTTTTGCATGACATATCACCTTCATATTCTAATTCCAATAAAAAATTCCTAAAATACTCTTGGTAATTCCATTAAAATTATTTGTCACAAAAATAGGGTTTAAATTAGCATGATATATATTCTATATTAAGGGGTTGTTAGGTAGGAATACAAAGTGGTGGGGTTTGAAAATTTTGATGTTTGATTGGAATATAAAGTGGAGTAAAATAAAATAAATATAGTTTAAGTTATTTTAGTTCATTTTTGAAGTAAACTAAACTCATATAGTTTTGAGTGAGACCGTTTACACCATAAGAAAGTTCACTTGACCGCCGTCCACCACAGCCACCACCTATCGGCCACCACCGGCTGATGTTGCCACCCACCACCACTAGCTACCACCTCTACCTCTGACATCCGCTACTCACCGTCGTTGGCAACCACCACTACCACCGCTCGACGCCACCGCCCACTATCGGGCACTACCACTGTTAGCCACCACCCTCAGGCACCACCACAACATGCTGATGTCGTCACCCACTCCCAGCTACCATTGTCATTCCCGCCAAGCCTCTGGCCACCCCTTGCCAGCCACCAACCACTACCAGTTGTTGCAATCGTTGGCCACCACCGCCGCCAATAGATGTCTCCACCTGTTGCCGATAGCCGCCACCACCACCTCCCCCGTCGGTTACCATCATTTTTGGACTTTACAATGCGTTCATTACTTCAAATAATCAAATCAAACAAAAAAAGATCATTTACTTGTACTTACTTTATATTCATCCAAACAACTCAAAAATATTTTTTTAACATTGCATTCCTTTTTAGTCAACTAAATATCCCCTAAAAGAAAAGAGATAAACACCTCTCAAGTTCAATTTGGTAACTAACATTGCTCTTAACCTCACCAAACTTTTTTACTCTCATTCTTCTTCCTCTTCTTCTCTCTCTCATGAAATCACAAAGAGCACTATTTCTTCTTCATCGCCTTTGTGAAATGAAATTCGCACTCCTTTCTTCTTCCTCTTTGTTGAATAGAAGCAACAACCTCTCTCTCTATCTGCATATTTCTCCATGATTATATCTTTGTATGGGATGTATTTTACAACCACAACTTGCTTTCTACTTCCACATTCTTTTTGCCACTATATTCTTTTATGTGCGATAAATGACACATCTGTCCATTCACTTTCGTTCGATTAAAGGTGATGAGAAGTCGGTTTATTGGAATTACTATCATAGATTAGCACTTATATTTATCTTGATAAACTTAAAAAAAAAATACTCTGTAGTTAAAAACATGCAAATTTCATATATAATTATAACCTTTTTAAAAAAAAATTGCCAAAAATAACCATTTTTTCATGAGGGAAGAGAGAGAAAGAGGGAGCGCGCGCTATGTGTGGGCTGTGGGGTAAACACTAAAGTCTAAACATGGTGGTCTTCACTTTACTGAAGCATCTATGCCGCTCCGCTTTATCATGCCATCTCTCTCCTTACAACCGTCAAGAGAAATGCACATGCCCTCCTTGGCTCACTAGGCCTTAAACTCACCTCTCTCTATCCCCTTCCTTCTCTCCCTTTCCTTCACATCTTTTTCACTCTTCCCACCATCCACAATGCGAGAACCCAGCAGACATTCGCCGTTGGCGGCAGCAACTGCCGCCCTAACTCTGTTCCTTCTCCTACTTCCGTCGGCGAAATGCGGGGTGACCTACGACCGGAAAGCCATTATCATCAACGGACAGCGAAGAATCCTCATTTCCGGCTCCATTCACTACCCGAGAAGCACACCAGAAGTAACATTTACTCTTTTATTTCTTTGTCTTCGTGTACTTTGCTTCTCTCCGCGAAAAATGCTTGAAGCTCGAATCTTTATTTTCGGTTTCTGCAACTAGATGTGGGAAGGGCTCGTTCAGAAGGCTAAGGATGGCGGGCTTGACGTTATCCAAACATATGTGTTCTGGAACGGCCATGAGCCTTCTCCTGGAAAGGTGCTTCTTTTACTTGCATTGCTTAGTAACCCCTTCTTCTTGTTTTCTTTGGTCATTATCTTCTTCTTAGGGGTATAATTGTGTTGAGTTTGCCTTTTTCATAGTATAATTTTGAGGGGAGATACGATTTGGTGAGGTTTATTAGGACGGTGCAAAGGGCTGGGCTCTATTTGCATCTCCGAATAGGGCCATACATTTGTGGAGAGTGGAATTTTGGGTATTTCTCTTCTTCCTCCTGAGTTCTTGTCAAATCTTGCTTTATTTCTGTTTCCTTAGATGAAGTTATTTTAATTTTCGTTCAGAGGATTCCCTGTTTGGCTGAAGTATGTGCCTGGCATCAGCTTCAGAACAGATAATGAGCCTTTCAAGGTATATTTCCTTCATTTTTTGTTTAATTGATCAACTCTATTCACATACATTGGATGTTCAGTGTTTATTTTTTTGTCTCTTGATTTTTGTTTAGCAAAATTTTGGTTATTATATAACTTAACTATTTGGTTTATATGTACTCTTTTAGAATGCCATGCAAGGTTTTACACAGAAAATTGTAGAGATGATGAAGAGGGAGTCATTGTTCGAGTCCCAGGGTGGCCCAATTATCCTCTCACAGGCATGTGCTTCGAAGAACTTTAGGCATGTGTAAATAAGTAATGTTTAGGGGCTGTTTGGTTACGAACAGGATCTAATTCTAGTAGGATTTAGTAAATTATGTAGATCCAAATTTAGTAAATTCTTTAGGAATTAAATCCTAAAAATAGTTTGGCATGATAGATATTAAATGTAGTTGAATTTCTCGTAAATTGGTTGATAAAAGTTTTTAAGATTTAGAATTTAAATGAAAGTGAAGAAGAGGCATGTCGAGAAGTGATGCAAATCTCTTAAATCCTAATCTTCTGGGATTTAGTAGATTCGAGATTTAGCCTAAAACATGAAGAAAATAGGCTTTAAGTGGCTCAAAAATTGGTTGCCAATATTTAGCCTAAACTTTCTCTCTTGCTTTCTAAAATAGCTTTCTAGTACAAAAATTTTTTAAATTTGAATTTTTTGGACTAAAAAGTCATTTTAGAAAACAATACGAAAGTTGTCTCAAGAAAAGCCTAAATCTTGGCTAAATCTTGTAACAAAACAAACCCTTGGCTTTGGTAGACACATGCAGTTGGGGTATTTAACAGATTATCTGATACTGTATGCAGATTGAGAATGAGTATGGACCAGAAGGAAAGGCTTTTGGGCCTGCTGGTCATGCTTATGTGAATTGGGCAGCAAACATGGCAGTTGGAATGGATACAGGTGTCCCATGGGTGATGTGCAAAGAGGATGATGCTCCAGATCCTGTGGTATGTGATTCATTTCTTCGTCCAGAAATCCAAGATTTTATTAGTGACCAAGTAGATGAATCTTTTCTTTCATTTTGGCTTAATAATTTAAAGGTTGTGGGATAGTTGTCCATTCTCAACCACTTTGGAGGAGCAGCTTCTCTATTTCTTTTGTGGTTCTACTTGTTATAAATTGATAAGAGATTAAAACAATTTTTTTTTCAAAGATACATGCTAGAATTGTTGCGTTATGTAAATTTGTCTGTTAGTTTAAGACTTTGTTTGGGACGGTTTTCTTACTGCTTTTAAAAGCAGCTTTTTAGTACAAAAATTTTAATTTTTGTACTAGAAAACCACTTTAAGAAGCAGTAAGAAAGCTGTCCCAAATAGAACATAAAGCAAGATAATTTTACGAACTTGGTCCTTGTACACTGAATAAAAAGACTGAAATATAGACAATTTATAGTAGTTTGGCGGTCTTGTGACCTACTTTTACTGTTGACGAGCCACATTCTTTTTATTACTCAGAGCAAGCATGACAGGAATGTTTTAAATGAGCGATTTTGTACGGTAGTTTTCTCTATAACTCTTTTTCTTGTTTGAGTTCTTGATTTTCTTATAGCTTTCTCCCTGTCTCTCTTTCTCATTTGGAAATGCCAAGCAAAATATCATGAGTAGTATGGATGTCATCCCAACAACAAAGGGATAACAGATTCAGAAGCCAGGAGGATGTTGCTGTATATACAGGAAATAGGGAGATTTCTATTATTGATTCCAAGGTTGTGGTACAAGAGAATTTATCCTATCATATCCCACCTAAATTGTTGGATCTTTTATCGCATTTCTTATTCAGATAGAACTAATGTGACTTCAGTAGCGGATAATTAACATTGCTCAATTAGTCAATGATGATAATTAGTCAACTTGCTATATGGATGAAATCATTGATTTAATATCATGTTATCTATAAGGTTTTCATATAGTTTTTAAATCTATGATTACAGATTAATGCATGTAATGGATTCTACTGTGATGCTTTCAACCCCAACAAGCCTTACAAACCTATGATGTGGACTGAAGCTTGGAGTGGCTGGTGAGTTGTTTTTTTACTTATGTTGTTACATCATATTTTTGCTTGTGTGACTTATTTTAAGTTCTCTACTTTGTGTTGGTGTTCTATTCATTCACTGATGATATTACAGTGCCAAAGGCCTAATTCAATCTCTTGTTTTTTTGTTTTTCAAATTATTGGTTATTCAGGTTCACAGAATTTGGAGGCACGGTTCACCAGCGACCTGTCGAAGACTTGGCATTTGCTGTGGCACGCTTTATACAGAAGGGTGGCTCCTTTATTAACTACTACATGGTAAGAACTGTTCAAATCAATTTTTCATTTGTTAATCTGTATTAACATCTTTTTTTCTTGATGTCCTTGCATTTTACTTTACTGATATTTATTTTAAAAGTATCATGGAGGAACCAACTTTGGGCGTACAGCTGGTGGTCCTTTTATTACAACCAGCTATGACTATGATGCTCCAATAGATGAATTTGGTAAGGACTTCTACCTGACATTTTAGTGTGAATATTTGTCCTCTTTCTTCAAGCCCCATTGCAATGGTTATGTATATTAATCTATTAAGTATATTGTAATCATCTCACTTTATTTTTTAGTTTTATATTATGAAGATTTAAATTTAGGCTTAGTTTGGGGCGACTTTCTTACTGCTTCTTAAAGCAACTTTCTAATACAAATATTTTAATTTTTATATTAAAAAGTTGCTTTAAGAAATAGTAAGAAAGTCGTCCCAAACAAAGCCTTAATTTTATAAAATTGTTAAACAGAGTATGCTATATGGAACATAGTAGTGGGTAATAAAATAAGTCAATGATAGCACGTTGATTGAAGGTGAATTGCGAAAAGCTAAAAACAAAAAGAATTGAGTAATTTATGATTACATTACCGGGGTGATAAGTAATAAATTATAGATAAGATTGTGGTAGATAAACTTATGTGATTTCAGCATATGAACAGAGGAAAGAAGATGCAACAATAATAAAAGTAGATAGAACTAATGTGAAAGATTAGGAAGGACATTGCTTTTGCAAAATAGGCTAACTTCTTAGGTAAAATTAAACAAGAATGAATGTATGAGGTGATTTCATAAAATTGACCTTAAATAATTGGGAAGTGGATGATGATTATGTTACCGTTTTGTAATTTTTATGTGTAGCTTAAATAACTGCTCTATTACAAATCACATTATGATCTCTCTAGTATTGTATTATTTACTAAAAGTCATCTTTATAATTTATATTTCAATGCAATATCTGATTGCTTCTGTGTACTTTTAGAAAGGGCAAATTGGAAGTGTTGTAATTATAACTTTCATTTTCAATTAACAGGTTCAATCCGAGAACCAAAGCATGGACACCTGAAAGAACTCCATAGAGCCATCAAGCTATGTGAAAACGCTTTAGTTTCAGCTGATCCAACCGTGCTATCTTTAGGGCCATTTCAACAGGTTCATGCATAATTTATTATATTTCAATTATAATCCTCATTATTCCATTACTTAGCTCTTGAGACTTCATTCTTAATAATGATTACCTTGGGGCAAATTAGGCGCATGTCTTCAATTACCAAACAGGAGGTTGTGCAGCTTTTCTGGCAAATTACAACCCTAAATCCTATGCAAGGGTTCTGTTCAATAACGCGCATTACAATCTGCCACCTTGGTCGATTAGCATCCTTCCTGATTGCAAAAACGTGGTCTTCAACACCGCAAAAGTAAGCGAGGCGTTACAGAAATATGCTTGAATTGGCCATTTGATCTGATACTCAATGTTACAAGGATTGGTTTTTTTCTTCAGCTTTTCTTCAGAACTGCTACAAATGGTTTTGAAAATGATTTCCTCTTTTTTACGTTAGGTTGGCGTTCAAACGTCACAAATGCAAATGTTAGGCTCCAGTAATGAACAACTTCTGTGGGAAAGGTATGATGAGGAAATTGCTTCAATGGCAGACAATTCCCTTCTTACAACCACTGGTCTACTAGAGCAAATAAATGTGACCAGAGACACCAGTGATTATCTCTGGTACATTACAAGGTGAGAATAAAGCTCTCATTATTAAATATATTGTGGGAACAAATTTCTTTCCTCCTATTTGACATTTAAGTTTGGCAATCATCATCACAAATTTCTTTCTCTTTTTTATTGGAGTAAACTACAAAGACTAACTTTTTGTTTTTTTTTTCTTTAAATTTTTTTATTTTCATGATATACAAAACATCTTAATATCTCATATAGCTGCATTTGTTTAACCTGCTACTACTGTGTCCTTTTCAGCGTCGATGTGAATTCAAATGAAAGGTTTTTGAGTGGCGGTCAGCCTCCTGTTATCATCATACAGTCTGCTGGTCATGCATTGCATGTTTTTGTAAATGGGCAGCTTTCAGGTATACTCTTGGAAAGGTTATTATCTTAAAGCTGGAAGTGCAAATCATTAATGTTCACGTGTTCAATGATAGGCTCTGCTTATGGGAGCAAGGAAAATAGGAGAATTACATATAATGGCAATGTCAATCTTCATGGTGGATCTAATAGAATTGCATTGCTAAGTGTGGCGGTTGGTCTACCGGTAAATTCTTTTATATCTTCAATTCATCCATATATATATCGAAGACGGTTACAGTTGCATCTTTCGGTTGGATTGATCTTTCTTGCATTTTGTTGTTTTGAAAAAGAATGTTGGAACTCATTTTGAGTCGTGGAACACCGGTGTGTTAGGCCCTGTTGTGCTGCATGGGCTAGATGATGGAAAAAGAGATTTAACTTGGCAGCAATGGTCATACCAGGTTAGCTCCCTTTGCCATGATACTTGGTTTTGGAATGATTTCAAGGGTGTAAGAAAGTTATAAGTTTCTTTTCTTGTGATCATGAACTCAGGTTGGTCTTAAAGGGGAATCAATGAATTTGAACTCTCTCGAAGGTACTTCTTCTGTCGAATGGATGCAAGGGGATTTTGCTGGGCAAGCACAGCAGCCTTTGACATGGTTCAGAGTAAGAAAGAGGCATTTCTATCTGTTTTGAACTAACTTTCTTTTATTACATAGCAGTTAAAGTCTTTTTTACCTTTTTGTGCAATAAGCTCAGGTTTTTTATTTTGTTCCCAGCATCTCTGATCATGTATTTTGGGTTCCTTTGTTAGGCATATTTTGATGCACCTGGTGGACAAGAGCCGTTGGCTTTGGATATGAGAAGTATGGGTAAGGGCCAAATTTGGATAAATGGCCAAAGCATTGGAAGATATTGGACTGTCTATGCGAATGGAGATTGTAGGGGATGTAGTTATACTGGAACATACCGGTCGCCAAAGTGTCAAACTGGCTGCGGTGAACCAACCCAACGCTGGTAATGACCTTCAGCTACTAAGTATAGATTCATATTCTTCTCAGATTGATTAGTTTACTTTTCCAACAAATTAGGGTGTGTTGGAAGGTTCACTTACTAATTTCAGCCAGCAAGCAACTTCAAATTTCTGCTCCATGACATTAAGGCTTAGCATTACATTAATCTGTGGAAAATTAGCAAGAAATTTATTAATAATGATAGTTACACGAACCTCCAGCAAATTAGAGAAGAGCATTAAATGATGAAGTTATATTTTCTAATCACTCACTCGTAATGTTTGGCTGGACACAAAAATCTCTCACTGGCTTGCATAACCATTACTGTTTCATTAAATTTGAACTCTTGCTTTTCTTATGAAACTAAGGCTTTGTTTGAGATGGCTTTCTTACTGCTTCTTAAAGCTGATTTTTAGTATAAAAATTAAATGCTGCTTTAAGAAGCAATAAGAAAGCTATTCCAAACGAAGTGTGAGTCATACACAGCTGGAGGATAAAGGTGAAAAAAGCAAGATTAGATTGGTATTATTTCTGCTTAAACCACCTAAATTTTCAATTTTTCCTGCTTTTCTCAACTGAACCAATACAACCATACAGAGATTTTTTTTTTCCTGTCATCTTATTCTACTGAATGTAACTTATTCAAGCAACCTGGTGTATTCATTTATATTCACATCTATTAGCTGATCCTAATATCACCAAACTAAACAGGTATCATGTGCCAAGATCATGGTTGCAGCCATCCAGAAACCTTTTGGTAATATTTGAAGAGTTGGGCGGCGATGCAACCAAGATTTCGCTTGTCAAGCAATCAGTCTCTGGTGTTTGCGCCGATGTTTCAGAATGGCATCCAACGATTAGAAACTGGCACCTTGATAGCTATGGCAAGCCCGAAGAATTCCGTCGGCCAAAGGTCCACCTTCACTGTTCACCTGGACAGTTTATTTCAGCTATCAAATTTGCAAGCTTTGGTACTCCATATGGGGCTTGTGGAAGTTTTCTGCAGGGTGCTTGCCACTCACCAAATTCCCACACTACCTTAGAAAAGGTAATGAAAACATTGATGCTTTTTTAAAAGCTTAGAGGCTTATTTTGTTAAGCTTGTCTTTAGCAGTTTAGTTGTCAGAAAGTTGTTTTACGAAGAAGCTTTAAAGCTGCATTTGAAAGACTTTTGAAAGCAAATTCCTTAAAAAAGCAGCTTACTTTTTGGAAGAAAATTAGTTTAAGATTGTTTCATATAATTAGGGATTTCAAATGAGTGTAATACAACTTTTTTATGTATTACTCCTCTCTTAAAGTTCATCCAAAAAATTTTGGATTCATTTTGAGCAAATTTTGATTTGAATATCTTTACTCAGATCTTCTATTTATTATTATTTTTTTTTTGGAGCAGAAGTGCATTGGGCAGGAAAGATGTGAAGTAGCAATAACCCCCAGCAATTTTGGAGGGGATCCCTGTCCCAATGTTATGAAGAAAATTGCTGTTGAAGCTGTCTGCTCCCCAGCAACACAGCCTCTGCACTGATCAATCTCTGCCATACCATCAGAAGATTTGTTCTTGGCAGGAAGAACAACTTCCAAAAAAAAGGGAAAACAAGCATTAGGAAATTACAAGGAAGATGTTGTGTATGTCTTAAATTACTGTTGTTGGTCATTATATGCTTTCCAACTCCAGTTTGATTCTCTGGTTTCTCAGTTCTAAGTGAGCTGTTGAAGACCCAGAGCGAAAAAAAGGAAGAAGAGAAATGGTGCTTCTTGCTTCTTGGGTTTTTAGTTCATTGTTATTGGTATTTAGTTCAATTCTATCCTTTCCTTTCTTTTGATCAAAAGGAAGGTTTGTATGTAATTGATATTTGAAACTAGAGTGAAGTTATATGATTAATATATGAATCGATTCCAATGTTCCATTAATTTATTCTTCAAAAAAAGAAGCTAATTCCACACCTACTTATGGAGAAATTATTCTATCCGGAGGCCGAATGACCTTCAAAGACCAACCAGAATGCACAACGTCACTCCTGGTTCGGTACTCAGTTCGGTATTATTTGGTACCATTCGGTACTCGACTCGGTACTGCTGATGTGACGTATTCTAGTTGATCTCCATATGATAAATTGTGTTCGGTGTCCATATAGAATAATCTCCTATTGCTAATCTTATTAAAAATATATTTTTTAAATAAAATTTTTTAATAATATATTTATAATTTATCAATTATTATTAAATAATAATAATAATAATAATAAAATAAATAAATAATGAATGAATGCAATTATTGTGTGATTCGCATATGGTAACAACAATTACATTATTGAGGAATTTATGATCCTCTGATGCCCACCGACACAATAGATAAAAAGAGTCATCATCCTTCTAAATCTTGAACAGCCAGAACTCCAAATAGAAAGAAAATTTTAATGGTGAGGTCGACAGCGCAAATGTCTTTTTGCATGGATGCCCATCTCGCCAAGCAATTGGTCAAATTATTATTTGCGCGCAAATTTGTTTTTTTTTTTTTTTTTGGATAGTTCTGCTTTGACTGGTCAAGCTTTGGGAATATTTCATGGATATTCGGATATTATTATTTATATTAAAAAATTGAAGAACTTTAAAAAAATATTTTAAAAAAAAGGATACATTGTTGCATAATAATAATAATTGGATTTATGAATAAATCATTATTATATCATTAAAATAATTTCAATAATAATAATTACATCATCTAATATAATCTTGATTAAACCTTTAAATTTTGAACATCTCATTCTTTTGGTTCAATTTCCAGCCTGTCTTACCCTCATTTTGTGATTCGTTTATCGTCCTGCTTCCCCTCTCTTTTAGCCCAGCCCATCTAGACCTAATCCTAGCCTTCTCTCTCCCTCTCTAACAAACATTACAAATCCCATATCCCCTCATGAGGCCACTACAAATAACCAAATATCAAATATTAATTGATAATTGACACCTCCGTCAAAAAATCTACGAACCCTAACACCATATAATCAAATCCTCCTTGCACTCCACTTTTCAAATCTAACCCAACACTCTAAGCCAAGTGATCACCACACCTTCACAAACCTTAAATCAATCCCACCAACCCTAATCTAGTGGAAAAATTATTGTGCGGACACTGGACGCTGTTCAGAGACGAATCAGAGTAGGCTACATCATCCCTTTTCTGTGTAACACGACTATATAACTGTTGTATACCAGATAATATGACGCTCTCAAAACAATCAAGTATCCGCACATAATAATTTCTCAATCTAATGAGACCCAAAGCAACCCCAATCCCTTCAAATCCTTCACATCACACTATAAGAAATCTCCTATCATTGCAAGCAATTAATATCATCGGCCCCACCCAAAGATTCTTCTCACCACCACCGTCAGCATATATAAATATAAGCAAGAGACTCGTGAAGTGGGGACCACTCAGCCTTTACGAGCTCAGCAGTAGCACATGGTAGGCCGTGTCTTTTGGCTTCTACCTGAAACTAATAGTGGCTCTTGTTATGTTTTATGTATTTGAAGGGCTACATGATAGGAATTTTGTTTTTTTTTAATGGAAATTTTCAGCTTGTTTTGCTTTTTTTAATGTTTTATAAATAACTTTTATTTTTTTATAAAATTTATATAGCAAAAAAGTCGTATAAACACAACTCTTCTTGGCGTATTGGTTGAGAGCTTCGGCATCCAACTAAAAGGTTCAGGGTTCGAGTCTATATGTATGCGTTGTGTGTATGAGTTTGTCTTAAATACTCCAAAAAAAAAAGTCGTATAAAACACCGACGATCGTTATGTGATGATATTGGTTGCTTTATTTTTCAAATAATAGTAATCATATTTTTTTTGGATTACTGCTTTCTAATAATTACTTTTTAAAAAAAAATTATGATAGAAAATTACTTTTTACCATCAATATCCATTTTTTAAAAATGCATCCCATAACAATATGTTTGAATTTATGAAGCCCATCATAATTTATTGACTGTGAGCTTAAACTTCTAATTAAGAGATTTATATTCTTATCTTAGATAATATGTATTATGAAAATTTTCATTTTAAGCTACTGCTTCATTTAGGACGGCTTTCTTATTATTGTTTAAAGCAAGTTTTTCGTACAAAAATTTTTTGAACTAAAAATTTTTGTACTGAAAAACTACGTTATAAAGGAGTAAAAAGTTATTCCAAATGAAGCTTTAAACTTTAATTCAAACAGCTTTCTTACTATTTAAAACAACTTTCTAATACAAAATTAAAATTTTTATACTAAAAACCTAATTTTCTAAGAAGCAGTAAAAAAATCATCCCAAATGAAACCTTAATTTTCATTTCAAGCATTAAATATGCATAAGTGTTTCAAAATGCTTAGATCCAAGTCAGGCCAAGGGCTAGCACTGTTTAATAATGATTATTCACAAAATCTTGCAACTTGCATGCATACCATATGATAAGAAATCATATAATTTCTCAATGTTTTGGATCAGCTAATTAGGGCATTTTGCAATTTGCCGTTTTCAAGTTGAGGTTCTATTTGAAACCACTGTGAAGAAAATTATCAAATTGTTGTGGAAATAAAAAGTTGTGAGTACCATAAACTTTTCACTTTTCAAAAACTAAGATAACAATTTTTAGGTACCACAATCTAATAAATTTATTGTAAAAAATTAGCTTCGGTCACAATAACATTTGAAAAACAGTAAAAATAAAAATTTATAACCAAAAATTGCTGCAGCAGCTAACCTAAAACCAAGCTGCAAAAAAAGCTACCCAAACCGAGTAATTATTATGTCCGAACACCAAACAGGTCTCCAAACTGAGTAATTATTGTGTCCGGACACCAAACGCGTCGAGAGACCAATAACAAAGCGCCACATCACCTAGAGCTCGGTACCGAGCACTTGGAATTGCTCGGTATATGTCCGGATTTCCAATTTTTTGTCCGGACGTAATAACTTTTCACCCAAACCAGCATGGTAGCTGAATACAATTGCAATTACAAAGTATTTAACTATTTATCAGTGGCATACTAATTTTTTCTGCAAAATTTCAACACCAATCTAACAATCACCAAGACCGGTAAATTATTTTGTGCAAATATCGGACCGTTCGGAGGCGAATCAAAACACGTCATGTCACCCGATACACAGCGTTATATAGCCGCGATACACAACAAACAGGTGGCCACCGAACAATCCAATGCCCGCACAAAATAATTCCCCCCCCCCCCAAGACCTAAATTTCTGTGCCAGGGAAAAGAAAGGTTTGAATGTTTACAAGCATTAAATGCACAACATTGATTGATAATGAAGTCATGATGATAAACCATTTTAGTAACAAATGAAGAAGCCTCTCATAGCTCATCTAGAGCACAGAAAACATTGCTCTTGAAGTACTGTTTTCCATGTCATCCAATAGATCATAACTGACTAAAAAACAGAAATTCAGGGAGCAGATTGGGTGGGGGCAGTTTTCTTGAAGTCGATCTTGTCGACCTTCACCTCTCCGTCGATTAGCTCATAAACATAGACCACGACGCGAAGTCCATCGATATCCATAAGCACAAAACTTGGGTTAACATCATAAGTGATGCTGCTATATGCACCAGTTGCAGAACCAGGGTTGATGACAACACCCCCCTCATGTTTATAGGCCTTGAATTGGTGTGTGTGGCCTGTGACAAGGATGTCTACATCTAATTGCCTTTGAAGCATTGCCAAGGAATCCAAATCACCCCATGGAACAACCTGCATTCGTTGTATTGAGTTCATGGAAAGAATATTGTTGTTAGGGTAAATCGTGAAAAGTAGCAACAAATGTTATAAATTTACAAATGATGTACTAAGAACCCATTTGATTGCTTGAAGTTAGAAATCATGTTATGAAAAATTATAAGAAATTTGTTAAATTATAAGGTTAAAAATCAAAATAAATTTTATGCTCCAACAACCCTCTCAAAGCCGATTAATTATTCTGAGAGGACGCCGAACGCCGTCCGGAGAACAATCAGAATGCGCCACGTCATCCCTTCGCTGTGTACCACGGCTCGGTACCGCTGACATGGCTGCACCTAATTCGCCTCCGGACGTAGAGCTGCGCCCGGCCTCCGCACAAAATAATTTCTCCTTAAACCCCTTCAAATGAAGTGATTTTGTTCACAGAAAAAAAAGAGTCAAAATGATAATTTTCTAAACCATATTTTCAATCTACAATCGACCAAATGAGCCTCAAGTTTAGTCGAGCATTGTTGGAAATTACATACGAACGGAAATTCTAGCAAAAGATGGTATAATAACACACGTAACCCAATTTCAGGTAAAACTGCAGGTAATCATTTAACAGTCGGGATCAGTAAAATCATCGTCGTTATCTTCCTCATAATCCTTCTTCGTTATTAGTTCTGTCGGGAGCTATTTATAACTTAGCTGCAACACAAAACTATGGGGAATTTATATGCAGTTGATATTTCATAAGACATTTAGAACTCCATCATATTCGTCCATTATTCATGGATATCTAACCTTTTTCATATAATTTCAGACGGGGGAAATGTAAACTAGAATGGTTATAATTAACCATGTATCAATAAGTTCACTGCATAAATAATCCAGCTCAATTGAAGATATTTTTATAAATAACTATATTGGCGCCTAGCCTGAGATGATTACATACACTCCATCCATATGATGCATGTATATATGCTGTTATCTGCAATCGTATAAACGATTGGGTAGGTTTATGTGGATAAGAGCAAGTTAGCTGCCAAAAAGAGACAAACTACTTGATTGGTAGAATGGATACTTTCCATTGGTGGTCAATGAAGGTCCTACCAATTGGCTGCAAGTGGGCTAGCCATTTGGTCGTTATCTACCTCAGTAATTAAGAGAGAGAAAAATGGATAAATGAGGGAAATTGAGAGAGAGGGTGGGAGAAAGGAAGAGAAATTAAGGATGTTAGAAGCTAAGCTCATCATGGTGGGTGATTCTTAGCTTATCACATACATTGTATAGTTATCATGTGTTATATAGTCGTTTTCTTTCTATTATGAGCACGAAATACACTTTTGAATCCGAGCTTAACTACTACGAATTCATGACTAGTGATGTGATGATTGTAATGATTAAGCATGTTTATCATGGGATATGACTATTTGCAATATGAAGAAATGAACCACGATATAGGAAAGATATAAAAAAATTGAAAATGCTTGCTTTGGAAGATGTGATGTGATGATTCCTGGTTAGCTTGGTATTATGAACTTTGATTAGAATTCAAGTTGGACTTGATGGTCCCCACATGAGCCTTAGGTGACAACCTCCTACCAAACTCGGTGGCAGATACCATAAGCATAATGGATTGTTTATTGGTAAGGTGAAAGCCAAGGTGACGACTTCCTGCCCAAACTCAATTGCCAATGTCGTAACCACCCTTATGACTGGAGTAGTGGTATGGTGAACTCTTAGATTTCATTTGGGACGACTTTCTTACTGCTTCTTAAAGGCAACTTTTTAGTACAAAAATTAAATTTTTTTAACTAAAAATTTATTTTAAGAAGCAGTAAAAAAGCCGTCCCAAATGAAGCCTTAGTTGGAGTGGTTCCAATTGATGAGTACCTAAGTTAACCAAGGTGATGACTGCCCATGTGAATTTTAGATGATGACTCTCATTCGGCATCAGACATAACAAAGTGCCATGTAATGATATGAATAACACAATGAAAAAACAAATAAGGAAATATTGAATGATTAAATGAAGTGCTGCAACTTGTATGGCACGCCATGTTGCACTCTACCAATAATTCTATGTATTACTTGCTCATATCATGATCCATATGCTTTAGCATGTCCACTTCATATGTGGAAATTATAATCCTCTGAAAATATGGAAGAATTGCAAGTTAAATTTGTTCAAAATTGAGTCAAGATCAGCTATCTTGGTTTATAACTTACTGCCAACTCACATCAAAGCCAAAAATCAAGCCAAGGAAATCTCACCAAAAAATCAACAAATTGTTATCATTACCATCACATCTCAATGTTTGTAAAAGGAACAAATCAGAGTGTTGTAGGTAGATACAGCTCGGTTGAAGAAGAAATATGAGACTTGATATCTTCTTTAGTTCCTTGGAGTGCTCGTGTAGTGGAGGTATTTTTTGAGTATGGTTCTTTGAGGGGCGACAGCAGCAGTGCACTTCGTGGAGGCAGGCAACATAATGCAAAATACGAGGTCTTGGTTGGAGATAGCGATGGTTCATATTTCTTATTCTAGTCAAATTTATAAACCTTCTCAACCTTTTGGTATGATCCAGAGTAATTGTAGATCATCTACAGTCAAAAACATCACTAGAGCTAGATGGTTCATTTCATTCATTAATAAACAAGCCCATCTAATTTGAATCTTCTTAATGGAAAAAAAAAAAAAAAAAAGACCAAACTTTTAAACATTTCAACGACATGATCTACACCAATTACAGTCCAAAATCCAAGCCCTAAAAATCCACAATGCTAAAGAATAGTTCAAATCAGTCTTAGCAAATTATCTCCTACGTCAAGAGATTATCCACTAAAAATCTCGTGTCAACACCTCTTAAATTCCTAAATATCTTTTAAGAGAATCTATCCTAACAGATTCAATTTTGATTAATAAAATTCCCTCAAGGCTACTTAAATTTCAAATCCATCTCTTCTTATGTTCCTCCAAAAATATTTAAATGTTCCATTTTTATTCAAATTCATTTTCAAAATCAATGTAAATCAGACACCAAATTTATAAAGGGTATATTCATTAGATACTTTCCAAATAAAAAAAGGGAATAAACGTTATTCCCTGATTACCGAAAAATTTTATGATTCCATTGATGTGACCTTTTTTAAACACTAATCTTATTACTTCAAACCCGAAATTTAGGGGGTGGAAACTCGAGAACAATAATTTTAAGTTTGGAACTTATTTGATCATTCACTATCATCTCTCATCAAACCTATGAATAATAAACATTTCTCATTGCCACTCATTTAACTTACAAATCCTTACCAAAACGGTAAACCCTCTTATCACCTTATCAGCATGTACAACCTATCAAAGCCTCGCCAAAACTACAAACTCCATCATCACCTTGTCAATGCCCCCAATTTATGGAGAATAAGCTTTGTATCTATACTAGGAGGAAAAAGAAATACCAAGGGGAGCAATCAACATATCTCCAACACACCAAAAAACTCAAACCTGATTCAATGACCAATAAAGTACAAACTAGTGAGAATAAATTCATACAATAACAACAATAGCATCAAGCCTTTATCCCACTACGAGAGATACTGATAATAATATCCATTCTCCATTTACCTTAAGGAAGTGGGTAAGGTCATACACCAAATATTCCATCTATGATTTTGATAGTCATAATGGGCTTTCACCCAAATTTCATGTTCTGACACTCTTTCTTCAAAATACATATTCCAATAATGTTCATGAAACTCTCAAAATCCTGAGTTAAAGAAAATAGTAATGGAAGAAACTTGAGCCCTTAGAAAATAAAGAGTGAGAGTTTTCTAAACTTCAACAAAAAAATGATTGAATGTAAAATGGATCTTTACAGTCCAATATAAAACAGATGAGAATGTGGATAAATTTAAAGTCAAATTTAATGCAAAAAATTATACCCAATAAAATGATATTGACTAACAAGAAACTTTCCATCTTATTGTCAAACTCAACACAATATCTATTTTTGCAATCTCCTGAATCAAATTTAGATTGGCCTCAACATAAACTTGATACTAAAAATTCTTTTCTTAATGGGAACCTCTATAGAGAAGCATACATGGAGATCCTACATGGATTGAGAAATCAAAGAAACACAAATAAGGTTATATAGACAAAAAAAAATAAAGAACAATATAGCCTCAAACAATCTCCTTGTTGCTAGTTTGGAAGATATTTCAAATATGTTGGTAAGTTTGGGTTCACTCAATTTTAAGTTGATCACACTCTTTTATCAAACATTCACCTAAAAGAAAAAGGAAGATTCTGATTGCGTACCTAGACGATCTTATATTGATAGGCGACTTTAAGGAAGAGCTAACTAAATTAAAGGGGGTTTTGGCAAAAGACTTGCAATTAAAACTTCAAAATTTTAAAATAATATAAGTGATATGATCAAAATAAGGTATTGTTATTTTGCAAATGAAGTATATTCTTAATCTACTTCAAGAAATTGAAATGCTTTGATGGAAACCCATGAAAACTCTAATGAACCCAAAAACAAAAATTGAAATCACCTCTTTCACTAGTCATATTGGGTTTTATGTTAGTGTTGGAAGGTAATACATGAATAAACCAATTGAAGAAAACATGAAAGTTGTTGACCGCATTCAAATGTGCCTCAAAATGACACCACTAAAAAGTATACAACAAAGAAATTAAATTTTTTGCAAATGTTGATTGGACTAGAGAAACATCATACCAAAGATCCACCTATGATTATTATACTTATGGGAAAATCTGATTATATGGAGAAATAAGAAATAATCTATGATCTCAATAAGTAATGTTGAAGCTAAATATAGGATAGCGATGAAGAAGAAATAATCTATGAGCTTGAGAAATTGTTGAAGCAAAATATAGGGAAGAAGCACTTGGTATTTGCAAAGGAACGTATCTCAAAAGATTGTTATAAAAACTAAACCATCGAGTGAAAAAAATTACTAAAAGTGTATTGTGGCAACAAGATTGCAATACAAATTAC